TCAAGCATCTAACTGAGATCTGGGGAAAATGGAAGTTGTTATCAATTGGTTGAAGAAACGAAGTTTAGGGACAATGAAAAATATTGATAAGTAACAAGTGGAAAGTGTGTCATTTGGATGATAGTAAAAGTCTAAGTGGGTGGGGAAGTGTATCTAAGGATATGAAGGCAAACCATTAATACGAAAACCCAGACAATCTCCAGAATTGGAAAAAGCCACACAAGATGATGTCGCTGAAATTTTTTTTGAGATAATAAAGATTTTTATTATCGGACCTTCGGCCGGAGGAAAATGAAATATTTTATTTCGTTCAAAAAACGCCAACAGGTCTGAGAAATCACTTTCTTAGGTCATATCCAATTAGCGATAAACTGCTTGACAAATACCACGTGTTAAAAAGCCGAAGGTGTCATCGCGGTCGCTCATGGTGGGGTGATTTAGATTAATATTTTTGTTTTTAAGCAAGGTGTTCCTTTCCCCAAAACAAAGCCACGGATTGTCCACACCCGACTAAAGACGTCATTGGCTAAATAAGATCACATGACACACGAAGGAGGAGGAAAGATACCCGACCAGGACCTCATTGGCCGAAAGCTGTCACATGACACACGAAGGAGGAGGAAAGATACCCGACCAGGACCTCATTGGCCGAGAGCGGTCACGTGACGCACGAGGAGAATCGGTTGACGCCCCTGTCAGAGGTGTAAGTGTGAGAAGCCGATACGAAGAAGCGGGGAAGCAGGCACACGCCCTCAGAGGCACAGTAAGGGAGTGGGAGTGAGAGTGAGTTACCGAAAATGGAAAGGAATGAAAATCCCTAACCAGAAATAAGAAGGGTGGATACGTATTTAGAATTATCGAAAAACCCCTGGCGCCGACAGACCCACCCCAGTTTTGACTGCGTCAATAAAAGCGGGACCCCAACCGACAGAAATCAGTTTGAGCCGCGGACGGCGGGCCAGGTTCTCTCGCCCCTTTGCGGCAAGAGAGGCCAGTTCGTTTGGCCTAAGTGAAGAAGTTCGTCCGACCCAAGCAGAAGAGAAGAAGCAGAAGAAAAGAAGCGTCGGTGCGCGAATTATCGCGCACCGACGGCGGAGATGAGTGACCAGTAATTCAGACTCTGAAGAGAAGAAGTTTGAGTTAGAGTTTGAGCAGCGGACGGCGAAAGAGTTCAGCCGTGGACGACAAGCAGAGATGAGCGCCCAGTGTTGAAACCGCGTCAAGATAGCTGACCAAGATTCACGCACACTTCTGGACTCTTCTTCAACCAAGAACAAGTAGTTTGAAGAGCGACTTAGAATCAGACCACAGAAATAAGTTTTTTTTTGACTTTCGTCCAAAGACACACCGAAACACAAATTTCTTAGAGAGCAGACAACTGGAAGCCTTAAAGTTGCCTAGTAAAAGCGTCGTGCCACAATCCACAGAACGGGTCGGGAAGTAGACATAGTCCTATGTACCGAGCAATTAGACATAAAAAGTTTGTTACCTTTTTCTTGATACGTTGGACCTTGTGAGTTTTTATTTTATTTTCTTTTATACATAATTGTGTGTTATCACCCCCGTTAGACTCAACTTGCATTACGGCCCCAACCCCTGTTTGATCTCGCCTGTCTAAGATCAATTCACAACGTGGGTAGGCAGACTGGAGATCAGTGCAGTTACCCTGGTAACCAGGCGTTGGAAGCGGGTTGGGAACGACGAGGCTGGTATCAATCTAACCAAAGGGTTAGAACGTCACGTTTGGAGCAGCGAGGAGCGAACAGCTGACGCCGCGGCAGAAACGTCACAGTTGGTGCTGTCCGTGACCAGGATATCAGAGCCTGGGGAGCACGTGACGTCACAATTGGCGCCGCGACCGGGATCGAACGACACAGTCGACGCTGCGACCGGGAGACGACGTCACATTAGTTTGTCCTCATCTTTGTCGACATATTTATTACAAGGTTTCGGCCTTTTAGTATCTGTTTATATTTCTGAGATGAGGTATTATGTACACTATTTATATTATTCGGACTATTATCCTCATCTTTGTCGCCATAATTATTACGTTTCGGGACTTCAGTATCTGTCTATATTTCTGAGATGAGGTATTATGTACACTATTTACATTATTCCGACTATTGTCTTCATCTTTGTTGCCATATTTATTACAACGTTTCGGCCGTTGTACGCTTCTTCAGGTGGTTGGAATGTCGAACTGAATGCTTTATTTCGCTCGCTGGGGTGCCATTATCTCCTGTTAATTCCCTTCTCCAAGTTCCCCACTGCCTTAACACTCTTTGGGTCCTGTCACTGGATCTAAGTAACGCCTTTATCCACTGTGCCATGTGTCCTGTTTATGAATTTCTGGGTATTATAGACCTAATGTCTTCAGCACTATTTTTTTTACAGTGCTCATATTGCAATTTTTGCTGTTATCATTGCTCTTATTGCAATCATACAAAAGAATTTACATACAAAATGGAAGAAAACAATTCTTTATATTTCCCAGATACCATGCTATAGCCCGTTAACAGTAAATAATCAAATTGATCAAGAATAAGAGCACTCAGATTTTGCAACCCTCAACATTTATATAAAGAGGAGAAATACAATGAAAATACTTTCAAGACCTTAAATATTTCATATTCTATGCGAAACAAAAGGCTCATAAAATATTCTAAAATAAAAATGTGGGCCCTCCTGGCAAAAACACCGTATGAAAAAAAAAATGTATCTATCTACACAATTAACTAATACTTGTGATATATATATATATATATAACGGAAAAGAATTTATCTAAATTCAACATAATATTTTTCACAATGGAAGGCGGGTAATTACACAATTATCTGTGATGATTGATAGAAAAAAATAAATGGGAAAAACATCAAGAAGTTTAAATAAGAGATTATATGAACATAATAGGGATATTTGACAAAATAATATATAAAACGCAGGAGTTGCTCGGCGTAAGAAAACTAAGCAAAGTTTTGCTATAAAAATGATTAATTGATGGATTTTCTGTTCTCACAGGATGAGATATTAAATAAGAAAGGGCGCTGGAGGCAAAAAGAAAAATAATGTAAATAAAATCTTCTAGATTATATAACCAAAATACATGAAAAGCTTAAAAGTAAAATTGGCCGCGTATATCCTCTGTGCGCGTGTCGGACTAACATAAGCACAGGCAGTCGGATAAAGTCCGAAAGAACGGAACGCATCACACGAAAACTATTTTAACAGACTTATTCATATTTCCGCCAAAATTGATGTTGATATATACAAATGTATATATCGCTATCCCATATATATATATATATATATATATATATATATATATATATATGAGATAGCGATATATACATTTATATTCCGACGTCCTTTAAAAGGACCCTGGTGAAATAAAATTATTATAATGGTACATTAAAGTGGTCTGTTTTTCTTTTAAATATATATATATATATAGAGAGAGAGAGAGAGAGAGAAAGAGAGAGAACGAAAAGTATATAAATTCAAAACGTCCATACCATTAATTTAAATAAGGGCTCAATACGTCTAAGACGTCGAAAAAATAGATAGATAATCTTCCAGTATAATAGTTTATATATATATATATATATATATATATATATATATATATATATATATATATATATAATAAATTATTACATTGGAACATGCAAGTTACCACGACAAATGCATAATTTCCGACGTGTAAAGACGTATTGAGCCCTTATTTAAATTAATTTGTTATATATATATATATATATATATATATATATATATATATATATATATATATATAAGAGATTTTAATTTTGAATCGTAACAAAATATTTCACGTTTCAATATTATGATTGTACTTCTTCAGGCGATGGTTGGTAATTGGTGATAGAATGATGTTTTTAAGGTAATTTATAAAACAATCATTACCTTTTATGTCTCGATTAACAAATAAAATGTCATATATACATGTCATCATTGATGATTGTGGAGGATATGGCAGGTAGTCAATTATGAAGTTCCATTTGTTGTGGTGGAGTACTTTATTCAGATGTAAAGTTGTCAGAAATTTTTTAATTTTAATTTTAATTTTTTTTTAAATTCAGCCAGCTTCTTAAAGTAAATAAAATTAAAATGATAATTAAATGATAATTAAAATGCTAATTAAAATGCTAATTAAAATGCTGAATAGACGGAAAAACATAGCAATATTAAAGTTGAAAAAAGCCAAATGAGTTAATTACCCTTAGAGGGTAATTAACTCATTAACTTATTATATACTAATAAAATTATAGCTATAAAATTGTAATACGTAATTGTTTTTTTTTGTTTTATTTTAAGGTAAAAGATAGACTGTGTCGTCATTTTACAGTGAATTTACATAATTGGTTTAACAGAGTTTTTTGGTAGGAAATTTGATTATTTGAAACTTTTCCTATAAATATAGGAAACATAGTTCGTGTAAAGATTTACAAGTTCGAGTTTGTATTTTTTACTCTACGAGTTATTGCCTTATTACATACTTAAAATAAACATATAATAATAATATTTTGCTCTACTTTGTATTGAGCACTTAAAAAAAAGTAAATGCTACAAACTGTCGATTTTTAATCCATTTCTTCTTTCTCTCAGTGACTAGCATATATAAATAGTTGAGCTGCGCAAAACACATGATTAAAAGATTATGTGTGCGCATGCGTGTATGTGTGTATGTGTGTGTAGATAGATACGAACCGACCGGGATAGAAAGGTAGATAGAGTGAACAGAGAGCAAGAGTTTAACAGACGAAGAATTATTAATAAAGACACACCTTCATTTCAACATAACGAAATAGAGGGAGACACAGACAGAGAGAGAGAGAGAGAGAGCGAGGAATATATAGAAAGATCGATACCAACAGAGATAAATGGATATCAACCGAAAAAAAACAGTTTGGTAGATAGATGCAAACATACTGTGATAGATATATAGGGATATAGATAGAATTATATATACAGAGATAGATCGATATTAGATAGATAGATAGATAGATAGATAGATAGATAGATAGATGTAAGAATACGGAGATAGCTATATGTTGAAGATAGATAGATCATAATATATTTGTTAGATAGAAAAAATGAGCGAGACTGATCGATAGATAACTGACATAGATAGATAGATAGATAGATAGATAGATATTGAAGACAATGAGATAGATAGATAGATAGATAGATAGATAGATAGATAGATAGATAGATAGATAGATACTGAAGACAATGAGATAGATAGATAGATAGATAGATAGATAGATAGATAGATAGATAGATAGATGTAAGAACACGGAGATAGCTATATGTTGAAGATAGATAGATAGATAGATAGATAGATATTGAAGACAATGTGATAGATAGATAGATAGATAGATAGATAGATAGATAGATAGATAGATAGATAGATCAGAATATATTTGTTAGATATGATAGGAAAACTGAGATAAACTGATGGATAGATAGATAGGAATAAACTGACATAGATAGATAGATAGATAGATAGATAGATAGATAGATAGATAGATATTAAAGAGAATGAGATATATTGATAGATTTAAAAGGAGAACGTTAATTCGACCAGAAAAATTACGCCAGCGAAAGACACCAGTAGACGATAAACATAAAAAGGAAAAAAATAAAAGACGCTGTAGATTTTTCGCATTTATTTCATATCGATATTTCCTGTGCAGCGTGAAGATTCAATTACATAAAACAAACAAATAAAGAAAGGAAAATAAAGCAGATAAATTGTAAATACAATTTTTAATTCACAAATCCTTTAAGCGCATTATAATTTTTTATTAAAATCCAATTTCTACTTCACAAGAGATTTTTGGTACGGAAAATAATAATCTAAAATCTCAAAATGACTTCAACTCTAACTAAAACATCATGTTGTTACTCAGATTATCACGCAGTCTCTCACTGACTCGTACTTTGTACGCTGTTCTTCTACATATATGTCACACACGGACGTAATAGCGTACAACAAATTGTACAAATATCTGAACGAAAAATGCTGGGATCAATTGTATAGTATAACATTTCTAATACCATAAGGGGTATTCATCCGGAAACTTTGCAGATAGATAATTTACACGCTGACTCTTTTCCACATCCTTGTTGTTGTTATTACAATGTTTCGACTGATGTACCTTCTCGACTTCATCATATGTATGTCGATCTGGTTAACCTAGAGAGAATGAAAGTATTAGCGCATATGATAGACTAAGAAGACCTCCTTAGTAAGCCTAGCATAGAAATAAATGAACTATTGGAGCCATTGATAAAGAAAGAATATAAAACAAATTACAGCAAGTCTTCAACAGCAGAAGTAGCATTAACAAAGAAAAAAGCTGCAGTTAGTGCAGTCAATCGTGACAAGGAGCTGCAGGACTGATCAGTAGGTCAGTTAGGTTTATGGCTCCAAGTACTGCATAGGCGATTGCTCCGCGGGACAATAGCCTAGTTTATTTAAGCGTTGGTTCGTGAATTTGGTGATGTTGAAATTAGAGGCGGGTCGGGTGTACTTGAATTCAATGGAAATGGGCGAGTACTACAGATAAGAACCAGGCAAAATATCCTTAGTTGGAACGCGAACAATCTAATCCCATTGAATAAAACGAAGTGATCAGTTCGCATTATCCTGTAGTTTAGCCAGGTCGACATTTGCCTAATGAAAGCTGGAGTACAAAAATGATGAGGATCACGTCTCAAACCAGAAAATCGAAAAAGTAATAAATTACTAGATATTTTTAAATGCCTTGTAATTTTTTTGTCTTTATCCGTATGAGTTAAATTTTATTCTAAGATGATATCTACTCAGTAGTGATATGTTAATAGATTTACGACAAATATCCCATATTGAAGAAATATTCTGTTTTAAAAAAAGTCTCAATACAAAGTAGTGCTGTTTTATCGGCTGAAAAATATAGGAAATCCGCTCCCATATTTAAAGGAACCCAGACACACAAACAATCCGATGTGAGTTTTCCCCATTCCATGTTCACGATGTCTCTTAATCGTGTTTTCAAATTGATTTTGTGCAAAAACAATTATATTTTTCCCATTTTTGGCGCTGTTAGAACCACCACAAGGTAATTTTATGTAGTCCTTTGAAGTTTTCTCGAAATCGGTTCAAAAATGTAGGAAATCCGATCCAATATATAAACGTTACACACACACACACACACACACACACACACACACACACACACACACACACAATGTGCGTATTATATTAAGTAAGATATATATATATATATATATATATATATATATATATACAAGGAGAAATGTGATCTAATTCCATTTTTTTTTATATTTACCCTATTTACATTGTTCGGACGGTTGTTCTCATCTTTATTGTCATAATCCAGTGTCATGACGCAAACAGTTATGAGTTCAATACTTGGTCGCATCAGAGGTGTGCCAAAAAACTCAGTGAGCTGAGTTACGAAAGGGAATTAACTGAAAACTGAGATATCCAGAAGAGACAGAACACGTTGAACTAGAAAAATCTATTCCAGTGGAACAAATAACTGGTTCGGTTCGAAATTCCAACATATATCACCTGAAGAAGGCTGAGCCGTACAACGACCGAAACGTCGGGAATGTGGCAATAATGACGAGAACAACAGTCCGAACAGCGTAAATAGTGTAAGTAGTTGCAACAGAAATATAATACATTTTTATCTAGATCATTCAAATAAGCATGGAAGATTTTACAAGTTACATTATGTATATCTATAGCAGTGATAGAAGCAAATACTTCACTGTCCGAAAATATTTTCTACAGGATCACCATCATCATCATTCTCCTTTTTTTATTGGTTATAATTTATGCTTTTTACCGCAGAAAAATATTAATTGATATCTATTTTTAATTGTTTCTTCCCATAACCTAGCCTCTCATAGAAGGACGACTAACAAATAGTTTTAGAAAAACCCAATATCTTAATGTAACTTGTTTGTCTTGAACTGTCTTTAAAATCTTAACATCTTCCCTAACATAGAACAGCAACTTATATTAAATCCTATCTCAGCTATCAAGGTCATGACATCCATTTTATTTACCTGAATTGATGTACAGACAGTTACTTGCTTACTCAGTATATCGTCAGCTTGTCACCGGAAGATGTTGTACGTAGCATCTAACTTCATTCAAATACTGAAGAGGCAATTAGCGTGAGGCAAATTCTTGTAGAGACGAGGCTAAAGAGACCAAAGAAAATCTAGGTCCTGCCAGGAAATGCTTTCGTCGTAGGGAGTCTTTTTGCCCATTATTCTTATAAATACGGTTTCATTCGATAGAAAGAAGAGAAAATAGGTCAATAAGACGGGCATTTATTACTAGCGAAATAGGTAAATGTGCTCACTTGTTGACGAAATGAAAAATGTTTTCAAGACGAAAGGATGTTCTATGATTTCATACTTAGTGTAGTTTTTTTTTTCACTATTCCTTCAGAATAATCAATTTCGTCCACCATTATTTATCTTTCAAATATTTTTAGTAAAGATGATAATCAAAAATGTCTCTAAAAGGCAGAATGTGTGTGTATGTGTAAAGAATGCACGGCTGCAATTTTCGAGGGATTTGCACCAAAATTTACATGCTCATGCTTCAAGTTAGTGGCAAGGCCAAGACCGACTTTGCATTTCCCAACTCCCATCGATAGTGGAAATAATCGATTTTTTCATGCTTCTACGGCGGTTTTCATGTACTTTGCGGCCATTTTCTACTGGCCGGAGTGAGAGCCAAGAGCTGGCTGCTACGAATAGGCAGGAAGATTCTATTGGCCAGCGTGAGAGCCAACAGCTTACTGACACGAATATTAACTAGCATGCATAAAAAATCGATAGCTGCATTCGTCACAAGTGGGAGAAATTTAAATCTGCATGTCACTTTACTCCAATTGGCTCATTGGCTTGCTTAAACTCAACATTGATTCCGATTCCGCAGAACTGGGTTGGGTGTGAGAAAGTATTTGATGTTAAAATTCTTTTTTCATTCGGTTTTTCCATTTACGAATCCTTTTTTAAAGCTGATCGTTTTGTGTTCATTTTGTTGAGTTCTATTTTCGTAACAGTTTTAATGTTTAGTATAGAGCTTAGAAAAATGCTGCTAGTCCTCATATATTTCTTTCTTTTTATTGTTTTGTTTCTATTATTGTCATGTTTGATGCTGAACTGTTTATCACATCAAGTGTAACACACACACACACACACAGATATATATATATATATATATATATATATATATATATATATATATAAGAAAGAGTAAGAACCCTAATACATTATGCAAAATTGGAACCCTAATACATAGTACCATACACAAACACTCCTACACAACAAAGACAATTACTAGAATATACATAACAGCGAATAAAAAACCTTTACACCATAACGTCAAATCATAAGTCAAACATTTGTCAGAATACATGCACATTCACAAAAGCAACACTTACAAATACCACCTAACACAACAAACCAAACGTAACAACCATTACCCACATCAAGGAACACAATCAAAATTCTCCGAGTATCTCCACATAATCAACATATAATCCATATAGAAACAACAAATCCAGAAACATCTGGAACAGCCCTTATCACAACAACAGACACACTTATATAGAGGAATCTTGAAACAACCCTGATTCTAACAAGAGAAACTCTCACTGGCTAGAAAATCCAAACAGTACAGAGTGGGTTATCTCTTGGAAAAGCCGAAATATGTGGAAAGAAACATTCATTATTTTTTAGAAGCCCCAGTCAGAAGAAGACCAGTTTAACCCCAAAATAATAAATCTATGCATATAGAAAGGACGAACTCAATCTATTAAAATTAGGCCTAAATTCCTGCCTTGCACCGAAAAGCAATATAACAGTCTTAAAAAACCCTTAGAGAATTTGAACGCAAATTCAGACTAAAAGAAATATTTAATAATTACAGATGAATCAATAATAAAAAATAAATCCAATTTCTTCCCAAACAAAAATAATAATACAAGTTAGCTAAATATATTTTTGAAAAACTCTGGAAGCTTGACCTGCAAAAAAAAAATCCGAACCATTCAACAAACTTACCTACAAAGGCAAGCCTTAGAGAGTATCCGTAAAAATAACAGCATAATTATAAAGAAAGCAGATAAAAGCAGCGTTATAGTGATCATGGCCAAAAAGAATTCTAGAAGCACTAGCGGATAAGAACAACTAAAAAATACTCGGCACCAACATTACAAAATTACAAAACTCTGCACGACACGTAACAAAATATTAACAAAAAAAGAAAAGTAATTTCATCATAAACTTTAGACCAAAATCAAGACTAGCAAAAACTCACAAAATCGAATGAAATAAAAGCAGCTATCTCGACGCAAAAATCTGAATACTTTAAGATCCCAAACCCAGACTCAGACCCATAGTACCATGACAAGCCTGTCCATCTATCAGACTCAATAACTTAATAGGCAATTCTACAACCATTTACTAAGCATATTAAAAGCTACATCAGAGATGATATCCACTTCCTTAGCTCCATACCCCAAAAAGTTGATCCGGGAACACTTATGGTTAATTTTAACATAAGTAGTCTATATAGCAACCTGACCCACAAATTAGGTAAACAGAACACTATAACCCAGATTTACTAAGGAATTCATTATCGATAGTATAGACCTAATTCTAAACAATAACACCTTTGAATTCGACAGCAAAATCTATATTCAAACCCCCGGTATCGCAATGGGAACGAAAATAGCACCTATATATGCCACCTTAACATTAGCTTAGCTAGAGGAAAACCTATAGGAAGAGATATAACAAATATAAGGGGTAAATGAAAGAATGCTAAGTTTGTTGTTTTAGTGTAAGGAATTCGTGGTTAGATAAACTTAAAATAAGACAGATTGAATACTAGCCTTACTCTACCCCCACACTTGGCAATGTGCCTCATTTTTATGATATTAAAATAAATATTGCTTTCCTCATTGGCTCCTAGATTTTATGAATTTGGTGTATTAGAGTGGTGGTGAAGTCTCATCATTTACATTTTTAAGTGTAAGTTCTATGCTGACAATTTCTTTCATTTTAGTGCTCCCCAACTTTGATCTAAAAAATTTAAATTCTATATCTAACTTTACCTTGTGTTATCTTAATTCTCGTTCTTTTATTGGCCTGTCTCCTTAATAATGTTTTTATTTCTCATATTTCCTCAATTAAAACCTTTCATCTAAGTGGCTTAATCGTCTTGCTTTGGGTGAAATTATTTATATATATATATATATATATATATATATATATATATATATATATATATATATATATATCATGTAAGTGCTAATACACTTGGGAAAGGTATGAATCCTCTTCTTCTCCCTCCAGCTATGGGTAAATAGAAGGGCAGACTGGGTTCTATAGCCTTGTATGGTAACTATCCTAGAATGACAACTCTGAATTCAAAACCTGCGGTGGGTTGTTTGGGGACCTTGTGGCACTTAGTGTACCAGGTCTCTATATTCGGCCCTTCAAAAACTGTGGATGGTCCTGCACAAAACCTTCACCACTATAATGAAATCTCATGTGCTGTTGTCGGGCTGTCAGTTTCCTGGGAACTGATCTGCTTGACCCTCATACGTCGAATTCGACGGAAGAGTCGATATATATATATATATATATATATATATATATATATATATATATATATATATATATATCCGATTAATCATGGATAACTGAATGGTAAAATGGAAAAAAGATTGTTCAAAGCGGAAAGCTTATTAAATGTATGAAAACATTATGGCCAAATTAATCTTATACAAGCAGATTGAAAGCATTTCTTTTATTCCATGTTCATTTT